TGTTGTAAAGTCAGAATTGCGTGATAGAAAGTCGAAATTGCGTGTTGTAAAGTCAGAATTGTGAGTTATAAAGTCAGAATTGCGTGATATAAAGTCGAAATTAATTGATATAAAGTCAGAATTGCGTGATATAAAGTCGAAATTGCGTGTTGTAAAGTCAGAATTGTGAGATATAAAGTCGAAATTGCGTGTTGTAAAGTCAGAATTGTGAGATATAAAGTCAGAATTGCGTGATATAAAGTCGAAATTGCGTGTTGTAAAGTCAGAATTGTGAGTTATAAAGTCAGAATTGCGTGATATAAAGTCAGAATTGCGTGATATAAAGTCGAAATTGCGTGATATAAAGTCGAAATTGCGTGTTGTAAAGTCAGAATTGTGAGATATAAAGTCAGAATTGCGTGATATAAAGTCGAAATTGCGTGTTGTAAAGTCAGAATTGTGAGATATAAAGTCAGAATTGATTGATATAAAGTCGCAATTTCGCGTTGTAAAGTCAGAATTGTGAGTTATAAAGTCAGAATTGCGTGTTGTAAAGTCAGAATTGGGAGATATAAAGTCAGAATTGCGTGATATAAAGTCGAAATTGTGTGTTGTAAAGTCAGAATTGTGAGATATAAAGTCAGAATTGCGTGATATAAAGTCGAAATTGCGTGTTGTAAAGTCAGAATTGGGAGATATAAAGTCAGAATTGCGTGATATAAAGTCGAAATTGCGTGTTGTAAAGTCAGAATTGTGAGATATAAAGTCAGAATTGCGTGATATAAAGTCGAAATTGCGTGTTGTAAAGTCAGAATTGCGTGATATAAAGTCGAAATTGCGTGTTGTAAAGTCAGAATTGTGAGATATAAAGTCAGAATTGCGTGATATAAAGTCGAAATTGCGTGTTGTAAAGTCAGAATTGTGAGTTATAAAGTCAGAATTGCGTGATATAAAGTCGAAATTGCGTGTTGTAAAGTCAGAATTGCGTGTTATAAAGTCAGAATTGCGTGATATAAAGTCAGAATTGCGTGATATAAAGTCGAAATTGCGTGTTGTAAAGTCAGAATTGTGAGTTATAAAGTCAGAATTGCGTGATATAAAGTCGAAATTGCGTGTTGTAAAGTCAGAATTGCGTGTTATAAAGTCAGAATTGCGTGATATAAAGTCAGAATTGATTGATATAAAGTCGAAATTGCGTGATATAAAGTCAGAATTGTGAGTTATAAAGTCAGAATTAAGTGATATAAAGTCGAAATTGCGTGTTGTAAAGTCAGAATTGTGAGTTATAAAGTCAGAATTGCGTGATATAAAGTCAGAATTGATTGATATAAAGTCGCAATTGAGTGTTATAAAGTCAGAATTGCGTGTTATAAAGTCAGAATTGATTGATATAAAGTCGCAATTTAGTGTTATAAAGTCAGAATTGCGTGTTATAAAGTCAGAATTGTGAGATATAAAGTCGCAATTGTGAGTTATAAAGTCAGAATTGCGTGTTGTAAAGTCAGAATTGTGAGATATAAAGTCAGAATTGCGTGATATAAAGTCGAAATTGCGTGTTGTAAAGTCAGAATTGTGAGATATAAAGTCAGAATTGCGTGATATAAAGTCGAAATTGCGTGTTGTAAAGTCAGAATTGTGAGATATAAAGTCAGAATTGCGTGATATAAAGTCGAAATTGCGTGTTGTAAAGTCAGAATTGCGTGATATAAAGTCGAAATTGCGAGTTGTAAAGTCAGAATTGCGTGATATAAAGTCGAAATTGCGTGTTGTAAAGTCAGAATTGTGAGATATAAAGTCAGAATTGTGAGTTATAAAGTCAGAATTGCGTGATATAAAGTCGAAATTGCGTGTTGTAAAGTCAGAATTGTGAGTTATAAAGTCAGAATTGTGTGATATAAAGTCGAAATTGCGTGTTGTAAAGTCAGAATTGCGTGTTGTAAAGTCAGAATTGCGTGTTATAAAGTCAGAATTGCGTGATATAAAGTCAGAATTGCGTGATATAAAGTCAGAATTGCGTGATATAAAGTCGAAATTGCGTGTTGTAAAGTCAGAATTGTGAGATATAAAGTCGCAATTGAGTGTTATAAAGTCAGAATTGCGTGTTATAAAGTCAGAATTGTGAGATATAAAGTCGCATTTGTGAGTTATAAAGTCAGAATTGCGTGTTGTAAAGTCAGAATTGTGAGATATAAAGTCAGAATTGCGTGATATAAAGTCGAAATTGCGTGTTGTAAAGTCAGAATTGTGAGATATAAAGTCAGAATTGCGTGATATAAAGTCGAAATTGCGTGTTGTAAAGTCAGAATTGCGTGATATAAAGTCGAAATTGCGTGTTGTAAAGTCAGAATTGTGAGATATAAAGTCAGAATTGCGTGATATAAAGTTGAAATTGCGTGTTGTAAAGTCAGAATTGTGAGATATAAAGTCGAAATTGCGTGTTGTAAAGTCAGAATTGTGAGATATAAAGTCAGAATTGCGTGATATAAAGTTGAAATTGCGTGTTGTAAAGTCAGAATTGTGAGATATAAAGTCAGAATTGTGTTATAAAGTCAGAATTGCGTGATATAAAGTCGAAATTGCGTGTTGTAAAGTCAGAATTGTGAGTTATAAAGTCAGAATTGCGTGATATAAAGTCGAAATTGCGTGTTGTAAAGTCAGAATTGCGTGTTATAAAGTCAGAATTGCGTGATATAAAGTCAGAATTGCGTGATATAAAGTCGAAATTGCGTGTTGTAAAGTCAGAATTGTGAGTTATAAAGTCAGAATTGCGTGATATAAAGTCGAAATTGCGTGTTGTAAAGTCAGAATTGTGAGTTATAAAGTCAGAATTGCGTGATATAAAGTCGAAATTGCGTGTTGTAAAGTCAGAATTGTGAGTTATAAAGTCAGAATTGCGTGATATAAAGTCGGAATTGCGTGTTGTAAAGTCAGAATTGCGTGTTATAAAGTCAGAATTGCGTGATATAAAGTCAGAATTGATTGATATAAAGTCGCAATTGAGTGTTATAAAGTCATAATTGCGTGTTATAAAGTCAGAATTGTGAGATATAAACTCGCAATTGTGAGTTATCAGGCCAATTCTGAGAAAAGATGTCAGAATTTCGAGATATAAACACGCAATTATCTGTTATAAAGTCAGAACTGTGAGATAAAAAGTCGCAATTCTGTCTTTTTTTCTCGCAATTGCGACTATATTTCTCAGAATTGCGACTTTATATCTCACATCTTTATATCTATATTTCTGTTTAATGCTACTTCTTTTATCTTATTATGTTTATTAAGTAACGATGTGGACGGTAGAACGTGTGACAGACAGTTATACGAGTTCGATTTGGGAATAAAGTGCGAGTTGTCTCCGTGAGTCTGTCTGGCCTCTGCCATAACTTCAGCTGTGAGCTATCCCTATTTTTCTTCCCTACACAACGCGTTACAAGACCTTAATAAACACCTCAAACTTACAAAACATTGATGAGTCAAACAAGTTCAGTAGCTTTACTAAAGGAATATGCTACGACTTCTGTAAAAATGAATAAATTAAATATTTAAAAATAAAGTGTGCTCCTGTTTTACAGCTTTTCGATGACGTTCACGTCGCGTAATTACGTCGCTTCATAACGTTCCCATGGCAACAGGGGGAAACGGCTGCTCTCGAGTGAAGCAAACGCAACATTTTCCAACTTTCTGCTAAGATATATGTGACTTTTTTGCAACGAAAATGCGAGGATTATGAAATCATGCAAGCCCAGCATATTTTGCACGGAAATCGGCAATTTATGCGGCGTATTTGAAAAAATGCGGCCCCCGCATAAATATGCGGACTTTGGCTGATTATGCACTAAATCATGCGATCGCATAATGGCGTTTTTCTGGAGGGACTGATAATATAATGAGAATATGATTATATGCAGTGTAACATTTATCACTTTTTACAGTGTAGTACACTAATACTAACAGGGTTCTCAAGTCTCACGCATTGGCCGTGAGACACACACAATTCAACCAGTTCACACGCTCACACGCCACACCGTGTATTTCTCACGATGAAAAGGCAATGCCAACCAAGTTGTCCTGCAAGCTTTATATAACGTCGTATACGAGGTGCAGGCACACAAAGTGAAGTTTCCTGCCGCCAGCGCGTCCGTATCTCGGCCAGATTGCGGTCGTTACTAGGCAACATAGATGCGCGAACTCACGGAAGTTGACGGAACATTCTCGGCCATCGCGCGAACGCATAGATGGTGCGAACCATAGATATCATATAGAGATGTCTATGGTGCGAACGTACGCACACACATTCTCGGCCACCGTACGTTCGTTAACAATATCGCGCGAACACACGTCGTGATCATAGGTCGTGATGGAGAAGGTAAGTTGGAAGAAAGCTCGTCTAACATTTTTAGGCTAGAACATTTAATATTTAGCCAATCGTAGGCTATACATTATTATTTGTGCAGTCAAAAACTCTACAACTACTTTGCAACCAAGCCAGAAGCTTTTGCTAAGGGAAATGTTAGTGGGAAGGAATGAAGTTTATTGAAGAATTGAATTTTATTTTAAATTATATATTATACTGTATTAATAGTCTTTCTAGTTACATTAAGGCTACATGTATTAAGGCAGAGTGCTCTGGGTAATATTTTATATCCTGTCAAAACATACATTAATCATTGCCATTGCATTTGTATTTTTCAAAGATGTCAGGGAAAAATGCAAAAAGATTTGTTTTTCCAAACTGTTTGGAGCAATTTGTTATATTTTAGTAATTTTTAAATATAACATTAAAGAGTATATTTGATGTGATGAATTGCTCTGTCATTTATCAGATTTACCAATTGTTATAATTTTAATTTGTGCTGGTTAATTATGAACAATGGGTAAAATTGGGGGGCGGGGGTGGGCGGGGCTCCGCTGGGGCTCCTCCCCTAACCGCATGTGATCTCACTCTAAGCTTTTGATAAAACTTGAGAACCCTGTCTTCATCTGGTCATTACAGTTTTTCAGAGTTTCGCGGCGTCTGTTACCTGATGCAGCGCCCCAATGATCCTGCGTGTCTCCTGGTAGATGACCTCTGACCCCCAGTGAGGGTTGAGTCGTGTCAGGTGTCGGGCCAGCCGGTTGTGTTCTCTCACCCAGAGCGTGTGCAGGACAGACAGGGGCAGGATCTCGTTCACCCTGCTGTCACCCGCCGCGAAACACTCGACCCGCTCCGACCCGGGACCCTGGAGGCACGCGGACCGCTCAGAGACGAAGGGCAGGAACGACCGGCCCTCGTCCGTGTGTTTAACATTGACAGCCAGCAGGCCCTCGGAGCCGGAGAGGTTTCGGAGCGTTTTCTCCAGCTCTGCTGAATGCCCGTACACGGTTGAAGCGTCGATGAAGGACGAGACTGAGTTCATCTGCTCTCGCTGGCTCTGGACGCTGGTCAGACAGGCCGGTGAAGAGCGGAAGAACGGGAGACAGCTTTTATTCCTGGACAGTTTATCATCCTTGGGAATCTGTGTGTGTGAGAGAGAGAGAGAGAAAGAGAGAGAGAGAGATTACTGTATGTAGAAGTGTTTCTACTCAAATTCTGTTGGAGCTAGAAGATTTATTGGTAACACTTTACTATAAGGTTCGATAGTTAACTACATGAGTTAACATGAACTAATAATGAATATACAGCATTTGTTAATTTTTGTTAATTGCAACGTTTACTAATACATTATAAAAAAAACAAAGGTTGTATTTGTTAACATTAGTGAATGCACTGTGAACTAACATGAACAGCTGTATACTATTTTTATTAACTAACTTTAACAAAGATTAACAGATACAGTAACAAATGTATTGCTCATGGTCAGTTCATGTTAGTTAATACATTAACTAATGAACCTTATAGTAAAGTGGACCGATTTATTATATATTCATGATATGAAAGTGAGAAGGCCTAACAATATCAGCAAAATCAAGTGATGAAAATAGCCAATTATAGCAATAGTTCACCCTCATTGATATCAAATAATAGTGCACAAGTCAAATGGACTTTTATGGCTGGGGGATATTTTGAATATTAATGTTGGTGATATAAAACTAAGCAACATTATGAATATTGCATGCTTTGAATAATGTGCTTTCTAGTCTGATTTATCCAGAGATGCTTCTGATACTAATGTTGAAATGACTTTCCTTTGATTAAAATACCCAGCCCTATAATCATGGTGCTTTGATTTTCTGCCGTTTTTCTATGTTTTCCCACTTAATTGTTGCTTGGAAGAAGAAAAAAAAAATCATACAGGTTGTAAATGGCATGAGGCTGCACAAATGACAGAATATTAATTACTGGCTGAACTATATTCCTCATATGAATCTATTCATGTGCAAATTATCAATCAGAGCTGAATCGATGTAGTAGGCTATGCTTCTGAATATGCATAAAGATCAATATTGAGCTGAAACTAAAAAGCATATTTGCACATGACTTTATATAATTTCATTTGCATTTCCATGTTTTATTGCCTCACTGCCTTGTGTCTCGGATGTGTTGCTAATTTGTTCACAAAGTACACATGCACACAACATCCATTCTGCGTCGTGATGCATCGTAATAATGAAGTTGACAGTTAAACGTCCCACTTGCGAAATCCCAATGTTTATAATCCAGTTTCGCTTTGCGTTTTTCTCATTTCACATTATGGAATTTTCATATTATGGAAGCAAAATGCAATGTCATTTCATGTTGAATAAACAATTACGCTCTGAATCTCCTGAGCTTTGGAAGAGCAAAAACACACTCCTCAGGGGTGGACTCACTTGCAAAATTGATCACAAATCTTTTTGTTTATTTTCTGTCTGTCATTTATGATCGTATGCCGAGAGCGGCCGGTCTATGATGAGTATTAGTATGCAGTATGCAGTATATGGCTCAGGGTGGGCATGAATAAAAAGCTATTTTGTATATCTATGGAAGTGTCCTCCTTGCCTCTGGCTGGGGACAGTGAGATTAGTTACAAACCGGCACAAACTCCCAACATTTTTATGAGCATTTGGAGCCCCAGAGGATCCAGACCGGCCAACAAAAAGGTGCTGCCGTGACCCCCATTTTCAATGGCGTTTGAGGTTCGCCTGAGATAAAGAAGTAATCAATGAGATATATTTTCTTTTTAATTATAGTGCTCAGCCACATTCCCGGATTCATCTCCGCTGTTCCGAACCAACAGTCCTGAACTGTCCTCGGAGTCAAATATATTCCCACCTCTGACTCATCAGACAAAGCGAGCGCTAGACAAAGACGTCCCCCCCGAGGAAACGCATGGCATTTTATCTGTTTAAACGAAATGAACTTCTGTCAATGAATTCTAAAAATGAGAACAGTAACCTGCTCTTTGACACGGGATGTCAACGCAAAAGAGATAATTCTAATGAAATGTCTGGGGGAATGTCTTATCCAGTCAATAGCAGAAAACTAGCTGCCGGTGACTCTCATATGAAAAAAGATGTTGCTCATGATTAATAATACACAACACCAGAGACAGTATGAGCAGGAGACTCTAGAATAACCAATGAGAGCCATCGCGACGCTCCATGTACCGAAGAGTGAAAGCCCCGCCCTTTAATTTAAAGAGACGATCGCTTTTGTTTTGTCAAAGGCATACACAATTTTTTTTCTTTTGAATAGACATTTTCCAATTAAAACTTTTTATAGGGTTCTATGATCTGTATAGAACCTAAATGGGATGGATTGAAGTTTTGTTTTAATTACAAAACATCACTTTCAACATTTATGAAATAAACACTTAACATCAATACATTTAAATATCAGCCCAAAATATTTAAATATTTATGTACTAACATTTTAGCCTATAAAGAACCCTTTTGTGGTTCCCAAATATTACATATTACAGTATTTTTTATATATATATATATATATTAGGGCTGTCAAATGATTAATCGTGATTAATCACATCCAAAATAAAGGTTTTTTTTACATAATATATGTGGGTGCACTGTGTATAATTATTTTACATATATAAATACACACACATGCTTGTATATATTTAAGAAATATTTTCATGTATATACTGTATATAGATTTATATATAATTTATATTATAAATATAAATATTTTATATATAAATAATATTTTTTTCTTAAATATATGCATGTGTGTGTATTTATATATATACAAAATAATTATACACAGTGCACCCACATATATTATGTAAAAAAAACTTTTATTTTGGATGTGATTAATCGTGATTAATCATTTGACAGCCCTAATATATATATATATATATATATATATAAATATATATAGCGCAGACTGTTTTTTTTGTTCTAGAACACATTAGCTTTACCAACCAGTGTTGTTAAAAAAAAAAAAAAAAAAATTAATTAGATATATTTTTATATGACAAAAGCACATAAGATTACTAAAAATACTAAAATGAAAACTGAAAATATAAACATAAAAGCTTTTTCAAAATATTAATAAATACTATAATAGTAATTAAATAATAAAACACTATTAAAAGTGTTTCTACTTAAAGTAAGTGCTTGTGCTGCCTTAAAATTGTAAGTTTAGTCAACTCAAATATCCAAGTTGTCACTTAGTACAAAGTCACATTTCAAGTCGACTAAACTTAAAATTGTAATGCCGCACAAAGAAGTTGAAACAACAAATATGAATCATCAGTCAAATGTCAGTAGCTTGGCTGTAGCTGAAATGATTAGTATCTTGTATCTTGGGAAGCTACAGCTTCAGAGTGTCTTCCTCAACACTGACTTGCACGACTGTAAGTGACTGAAAGCACTGATTGCTGAGCAGATCTTGAGGTGTACCTGTATGGGGAAGCAGGGGTTGGCATTGGTGCAGGTGTTCAGACAGTCCAGTCCCTCAGAGAACGCTGTTTGGCTGGAGCTCTGAGGTGTGAAGGAGATATCATGGTCGATGTATTGGCCCCAGTCCACCAGCATCTGGGAATAAACCTTATCCTCCAGGACGAGCACGCTGGAGCCACGCATGATTTTATTACTGACTTCTCGAACCTTCAAATACACAAATCAAATCAAAAGAGACCAGTTACATATTCTCCCATGCACTGCCCTCATTATGATCATCATTTTAACACTCAAACACATAAATATATAGAAATAATCTGATTTTATATTTTCATTTCATATTTCATAAGTTTGTGACAAATTCTGACATATAATGTAATGCAATACAATGATGAGTGAGAGATGAACAGATAAACCGAAAGCCTGATGATCATGCTGCACATTATTGTTCTAAAAAAATGATGTATGGATCATGTTAACCTAAGTTGCTTGATCTTGTTCTTGAAATATTACTAACAATATCAAAGTTATTCTTATGTTCACTTTATACAAATCTGTGAAGATTTCACAGCAAAAAGTCATGAACCATGAGCTGAAGGAAGACAAAGACTTTAGACAAAAATGCTGAGTATCATAGGTTTTTATGGCTCATATAGTATGATATAGTGAGAATATGGAGTGGAAAACAGCTCAGTTTTATTCAGAGACTCAAACTGAGCAAAAACATGCAATTTTGTGCAGATTCTGATATTTATGTGGACAAATTATGCAATGAAATTCTGACAAATATCAGTCGTGACTATTTCTGCCAAAAATATGATCAAAACTCTGTAGTTTTAAAACATATAATGCAATGCAATGATGAATGAGAGATGAATAAATAAACCTTCCTCGAAAGCCTGATGATCATGTTAACCTAAGTTGTTTGATCTTGTTCTTGAAATATTACTAACAATATCAAAGTTATTCTTATGTTTACTTTATAAAAATCTGTGAAATCACAGCAAAAAGTCATGAACCATGAGCTGAAAGTAGACATTTGTTCAATCAAGGCCTTTTGCTTGCTAAAAAGTGTCAAATCAATCATACGAGAAGGCAGAAAGTTGATCATGTTGATCATTTAGAGGCCACAGAAATTTGTGTATGAAATATGATACAGGAGTAGGCTTTATAGGGTTAAAAAATACCCTTTCATAACCCTTACTACAGTAAACTAAACAAAACAAAAAACCCTTCGCACTTAAACTACCGGTATTCTCAACACCATACCTTAATTCGATGCAGTCGTGCTTAAGCATATAAAACATTGGGATTTGCTCTGGTAAATGAAATAAATGCATGAAAAGAAAACGACCCCTGATGTGTTGATGTGTGTGTGTGTGTGTGTGTGAGCAGTCAGGGAAATCTCATTATACCCCTCTGCCAGAGTTTGTTTACCTGTTAAAACGTCATTAAAACCACTAGCAATTAAACAGGTATGGCTAAATTAGACGGAAGTGTTTTTGCGAGCTCTCTCTGCACTATGTGAGATGTGACAATATGAACATTTGTCATGAAACTTCTTGCACTGAAGTGCTGCTGCCTTCGCCTCATTAAAAAAAACAGTTTCAGTGAGACACGATGGCAGAGATGCTCGTTTTTCTTTGAATCTGGAAAGTAGAGGTTGTGCATATTTAAAACAGCGCGCATAGCTTTGCATTTTTAATGCGATAATGGAGCAGGGAAAGGCCAATGTGTCACCCAGGTAGATGTGAGATCAGGCTGTTTAATATGGAACGGTTTCTCAAGCTTATTTGGCAGACGTTCACAGAGTTTTTATTATAAATCTGCTTATATGTATGCAAAGCAAACAAGTATGCTATGATTTGAAGTACGATGTCAACATGCTCTCTCAAACTCTCTTATCAGTTCATTCACACCATTTCCTGAAAATAAACGACAAAAACAGCTCGTTCAAAAATCATCATGATTATGACCACCATAATCTGCACTCATTCATTACTGCACTGCAAAAAACATTTCTTTGTTGTTCATTTAGTCTTCTTTTGCATTTACTTGAGAAGCAAAATGACTTAAGTCTTGTTTTTGGAAAAATGTATCAACATTAAGTGAGTTTATGCTTAAAAAAAATTACATTAAAAAAATTGTCTGCCAATGGGGTAAGAAAATTAAAACATAATACAAAAGAAAACCAAGTTTATTTTTCTGGCCTCACTGACAGATATTTGTTCTGGTTTTCAGCAAAACTCACTTCATTTTAAATATTTTGTTCAGTAAACAGACTTCACGTCTTGAGTAATTATAATTTTGTTTAGAATGTAAGAAGGTTTAGATACTTGTACTGAAAAAAGACTAAACTAAACTAAATAAGTTTTCAAATAAAATACAATAATAAAACATAATTTAAAAAAAAAAGTTCTTGCCATAACTATCATAGATATTGAGGGCGACCCAATAATTAGAAATGGCCAAATTGAACCAAATTGAAATTTACATTCATGAATGTTAATTAATGTACACTGTCCCTTTTTTAATGTAAATAAATAAATAAACAAATCCCCCAGTGAATCGTTTTATTTTGCACCTTATTCCTAGTCGTTTCTTCCATGTATTCTGTATATTGTTGTGCCGCTCACCAGAGGAAGTGGGAAGCCACTGTATTGGCGTCCAGCGTTCCAGCCTTTGGGTTGGTTTTCTCCGTCCTCGTACTCTGCAGGGATCCATCTGGACAAGCCGGTGTTGGCTGATCCCCAAAGCGGGTTCTTCCTAAACAACACAGTATGAATGGATGGGATCTAAAAGGTCTCATGGCATCACAGTTTTGAAGAATCCAAGGAAACAGCAAAACAAACATGTTTATCTACTGTACTGTTGATTACAGAGAGCTCACAGGCAATGCATTATTTTGTCAATGCAACATTCTCACATTATTTGTCCTTCCTTGCATTGGATAAGGGCTGTAACACTGCATTGCATGATCTCAAAGATTACAGGACGTGACTAATAATGGCTTTGCATACATTTCATGTACTGGCTCAATGCAATGCATAAATTCTCTCACTGAATATAAACAAATATTGGAATTAATTCTTTTCTCATTGAATGTTCTTTTTTAGTTGGCAATGCATTGTGGTTTTGAAATAACATAACAGGCACTTTCATATACTCAACTTATTGCACTTTCTACATTACTTACAAAACCGTCACACATGCTTTTCTTCCTTTTTAATCATCAGATTTGTATGCATTTCTCTTATTTAGTCACAAACGTAGTACAAATATTACATTTTTGGTCACTATAAAAACACTATAAATACACTTCCTGAAGAAGATGTGAGTGAAGTTTGCCCGTGCACAGTCAAGGATGTTTATTTATATAGCACTGTATTACTGTATTGCACTTTTATTCAGACTCTTTTAAAGCAGCTTAACTGTAATAAACAGGAAGATAACAAAGCCAATGATTAATGAAGACAATAGTGTCATTATTCAGCTTAATAACAGTGTCTATGTTGTTGAAGTTGTTGTCAGGGCGTTGCTAGGGTGTTGCTAGGATATTCTGGGTGTTTTCGCATGGTCTCAAGTGTAAAAGAGTCCACTTTTCATCCAGTCTGTGTGATATTCTAGTCTCTAGATTTTGGATTGACAGATTTTATATAGTTGGTCAAGCTCCAGTAATAATTATACAAGATTTGGAGAAATGTTTAAAATAGTTTTAAATGAAGCACACCACGTTCAACCACTCATTCAGATACATTTAATCAGAACTAAATATGTTTTTGCATTACAAATATATAATTTGATGCATCTGGACAGACATGGTACATTTCCTCTCGCAAATGTAAAATTAATGCTATAAATCTTGCAAGCCGAGCCAGTGCAGAGAGCCAAAAATGATTTCCATGAACCTAAACCAATCATAGGCATCATAATGCAAATGTTGAGTTTATTCTGATTAAAATATGTTTATATGATTGCACACATGCACCAGCTCAATAGAAGCACGTCCTTCATTGCAGTTGCAGTTGAACTGGTAGATAAAAGAAAGCGTCTTCCATGACCCGGGTGGGCGGGTATGAATATTTAAGGTCTAGACATTATTCTTATATTGTTTAGTGATATTCTCAGCAGCCGTTCGTCTGGTTAAAGCTCTGACCCGTCTGGACTCGGGTCATCTTATCATATCGGCCTGATTCTCTTCACAAAGGCCACGGAGAAGTTAACCGAGAGTCGGATTCCTGTGCTTTCAAACTGCCTCCTGCTGCATTATGGATAAATGATTAAGATGAGAATGAGATACCTGTTATTGCAGACTCCAGAGATGCTGCGGTATTTTCCCCGTGTGGCGCAGGTGCTGGGCTGAAAACGCTGAGGGCATCCAGACAGGTTCGCTATCCACTCCACTGCCTTCACCGAAAGGAGTTCTTGAAAAGGAGTTAATGTGTTTACGAGCACAACTCAAACATTGAAGAGTAAACAGTGTGCCGAGGTCTAGCGTAGATGCGCAGCTCTCATCAACTCTTGTGCATAGATTAAATCTGACATTTAAAGCGCTTCGGAGATGCATTATTCCACAGTTATAGAGCTGGACAGCATCTCCCATACATAATAACACGCCAATACACCGCAGCGCCCCCAAAAAGGGTCTAGACACTTCATTCACACGTAAAAATGTCATTACATTAGATCAAGTGTCATCTGGGCTCAAATGCTCCTAGAGCTTTTACTAACCTTACTTCTGTTATCTAATGTGATTTACAAAATCATAATCAGACACTGAATGGGACAAGTCCCTCACACACTGTGGAAAATCATATGATCAATAAATTATGACAACATGTTTTTACAATACTCATCAAAATATGTTAAGCAATTTTTTAAAAAAATTATAAGCTATACAAGATTCAACTCAAGTCAATGCCATTTAACTGTCACCGTCCCGCCTAAATTTACCTCGCTATATTACTATTAAATCCTAATCTAATTATGACAAACTATATATGGTTGGAAAGGGATAAGACTCCTAAATAGATATTTGACTGCTGTTTTTTGCTACAAATTATGTAGGAAGAGTAACCGATGATTTTTTGACAAGAGTGCACCTCAAAAAAATCTGCATCATAACAGGAGTTCTGACCTTTGTCACAAAAAGTTGACGCACACACCTTTAATAATTGAAACTTTGGTTTTCGTGCTAAAAGTTCATAATAAAACATATAATCTAGTATTTTTCGATAAATTATAATATAATATTATCCTCTAAAAAGTATAATATATATATATTATCCTCTAAAATATAATAATATCTTTTTTTATCGCCTTTTTTTATTACATCATATATTTTAGTAGTTATCATAAATTGGGTATCATTTGAAAGCTTACAAACTCAGAATTCATCCTGTGAAAACCATTTTGAAATTGAACGTTGCGTTACCATAGAAATGGTACTCTAAATTATTTTATCAGGCTCCTCCCCTTTTGGGCTTTATTATATTTCATAATTTATGATCAAAAGCTTTTCTAATCTTGACAAAACACAAATTGTCAGAAAGGTCTAAGTCTCAAGGTTCCAAATTTTGTGACAGAATTGATATTTGGACAAAAATGCATTAATTTGTTAAGGCAGAATGTATACAACTAAATTCAATGGAATGTATGTCACCCGGTGGGACATACATGGGAACTTCAATTTTTGTGATATCAACTTCAAATGTGGAACACTACTTGGTTAGATGTATAGCTTTGATTTTATAGTAATTTTAGAGTAAAAAATATTTTGTAAAATATATATTTTTTTATTTTATAAAAGTACAGTATATTTGATTTACTGTAAATTTAAACTTCCATAACTTTTTCATACTTTCATTTTTTGAAGTGTTTTCACTTCAGCAATAATCTGCTGAGTGTTTCCTTTAAAACAAGACCAAACTTAGGTCTATATTCCAAAGCATTCTTGAATTACAACCATTTAAGTTTGAATAGTTCTCAAAAAGGGGGGTGACAGCGAAGGGGTTAAAGGGTTAGTTAGTTCACCCAAAAATGAAAATTCTGTCTGTATTACTCTCCCTCATGTTGTTCCAACCCCGTAAGACCTTCGATCATCTTCGGAACACGAATTAAGATATTTTTGATGAAATCTGAGAGCTGGATCACTCCTCCATACTAGTCCATAGGCTTCTTCAGGGATTGAACTTGCCGGCCTTGAAAAGTTATTAAAGACATCGTTAAAATAGTCCAAGTGACTACAGTGGCTCAACCTGAAGTTTATCAAGCGACGAGAATACTTTTTGTGCGCAAAAACAAACAAAAATAACGACTTTATTTCAACTATTCATTTCCTTCTCTGTGGGCCTCAAGTCAGTTAACGTAGTGTGATTCCGTAGAGCTACGTCACACGCAGGCTCACTATTGGCCGACGCTGGTCATGTGCGTGATGCGTGTGACGTACAACAACAGAAGCTTACGCTATTACACTAGTGAACTGACTCGAGGCCCACAGAGAAGGAAATGAATAGTTGAAATAAAGTCGTTATTTTTGTTTTTTTGCGCACAAAAAGTATTCTCGTCGCTTGATAAACTTAAGATTGAGCCACTGTCGTCACTTGGACTATTTTAACGATGTCTTTAATAACTTTTCGAGGCCGGCAAGTTCAATCCCTGAAGAAGCCTATGGACTAGTATGGAGGAGTGATCCAGCTGTCAGATTTCATCAAAAATATCTTAATTCGTGTTCCGAAGATGAACGTAGGTCTTACGGGGTTGGAACAACATGAGGGAGAGTAATACAGACAGAATTTTCATTTTTGGGTGAACTAACCCTTTAAGTTGAAATGACCTAAACATCCAAGTTGATTGTACTTAAAAATGTAAGGCAGCAACATTTGTTTTCAATGTAATAATTAGAAATGGCCAAAATGTAATGTAAAAAGTTGGATTTTTAGGCTCAGCGGTTTAAAAGCAAACGTCATTGTCAAGAAGATTGAGTTCAAGACACGGTGTACGTATGCTCACCTCACCTGACACAGCCAGTGATCTTCTCTGTCTCCTGCTCGCCTTCTCCCTTAAAAGCCCTAAAGTCATGTGAAAGACCTCGGCTGATCGGCAGATGTGTTGTGTTTCTGATGATCCCTGTCTGGAGAGTCTGTACATCTGTGAAGGGGGCGTCTGAGGATCTAACCTGCTACTCAGAGGAAAACAGGGAAACACCATCTTTCCTCACTATATCCAGAGACTAAATGAGTTTAGATGATAACAATGACTACAGACTGTAGTTTACCCTTGTGCGGTTCGATTCAGTGCGGCATTGACCATCTGAAGACTCTCTTGGAATGAAGATATAATCAAGCTCTCGGGAATCACTAGTTTTCAGAGAAAGTTAAAGTACTTAACACCACAAACTACCAATTGCAGATGTAACAAGGAATCTGCATTTTAATAAAGGATTATAAATAGGGGTGTAACAATATATCGTGCCACAATATATCGCAATACAAAAATGCAACAATATGTATTGTGGATAGTTCCCCCAAAATAAAAATTACTGTGTGAGTTTTAGTGTCAGTACTACATTAAACTACTATACATAATGTTGATTATAATGTATAATGATGCAATGGGGGAATATTTGTGGGTCCTGATAATGCCAAATGTCTGATGTTACCAGTAAAAAGTCCTACATTATTTTAAATATATCTAGTCAGTGAAAGAGTGCAAGCATATTCGTCTAAAATAATTCTGTATTTTCAGCTTCAGAATCATGAATATTTTTATTCTGGTGTCACCATTGTCCTTTGGTTACAAGCACCAAGTCCAAGCCTATTCATTTAAACCCACAATGTAATAACAAAGTTACATTTTAATCAACAGTCCATTTTTTGTTAACCTTTTATCATATGTCTTGGAGTATCGTAATAATATGAGTTCAGTATCGTGATATGTATCGAATCGTGAGTTCAGTATCGTGATATGTATCGAATCGTGACATGAGGGTATCGTTACACCCCTAATTATAAAGTATACTGTATTATGAATAACTTTATAATGCATTATATATAAAGATTTTAATTAAAGTGTTACAAAAAAATAAACTTTTCTTCTTGGTTATAGAACGATTGTTAAGGGAACATTCCATTCTGCAAACATTATGAGACTGTTACATTTAAATGTTCTCTGAACATTCTAAATTCCAAGAAGTAACATTTAAAAAATGTTAGACAAGCGTCCAACTAAAACATTCCATGAGAACATGTTTTGAGAACATTATTAAAGACCAGATCACTTTGAAGGAACGTTCTATTAATGTTACTAAAAATATGAGATATAGATGACTTTGAGAGTATCTTGCCAGATTATTATATTTCACTTGGTGCTTTTTTATTATGTTGCAGTTGTTACACGAGGCTGTGTCTGTATTATACAGACGTCAAGAAAAATCCTCCCAGAAATCCACATTGTCATTGCAGATAAAAAGTGTTAGTGTTGAAAATTTAATTAGACTGCTCATGTCCTTCAGTGATATGAAAATGAAATGTGGAATATTCAGATTCACTCAGGTTTTACATTAATGTAATGTCTCTAGGGTGGGCTTATGAATACGGGCCATAATTTGACGTCTTGGCATTCGTGCCTAGTTAAAGAACGCTGTGTTTTTTTTGAGAAACGTCCCAATGTCAGCTCTGATTATGCGGCCCGCACAAGCGCATCAAAGCCACGCTCTTCCTGTGGGGCCAAACCAGCACAAACACACCATGAGACGCGTCTGAAGCCCAAAATCCAGACCGCTGTGTGAGATAATTCAGACTCGGAAAGACGGCATTCCCCACTGGGAGAGAATCAGACATTATACAACATGCTTTCTAATACTAACCAACAACCCATCTACTTTTACAAGACGGTAACATAACAATGCTGTCCCGCTCGGCACCTGACCTTCCTGTTATACGTGTCGAGACCTGCAATTTCTTGGGAAATATCCCAAGGGCCACCACAGGAGATGTCATTACAGAAATTTGGCTCCAGATGTCAGGTACCAGATGTGGTTGGAACATTGGGTCTAAACTAAATGTCAGCAGGTACAAAATAACCCGTAATGAATCTGTCTCCAGCTGGCTGTAAGAATAAGACTCTGTGTTGAGTTCTGGTAATTGCCACCGAATCCCATTCGAAAGTCTTTGCTTAGTTGCTACAGAACTTGTTGTGAAAGAACGGCAATTACCCACAAAATCATCAACATCGGGACTGGCGTGCATATGTTACAGAACATTTTATTTATAGAGGTCTAAGATGCTGAACTGTATATGTGAAAGACGCCACATACGCGGAGATGAATCTGTGCTCAGATTGCAGCACATCATGAGAGAGGTTAAACACATCAGAACGCCAGCCATGCTCTCTCTGACCTGGAAGAAAAGAAAAATGCTTTTAATTAACTGAAAATAAGGCAATAGATGTCTTAAGACAGTAAAAGCTGTTCAAAGTGTATAAATACACTCATCACAGAATGATTAAACACTTTTTATTATGTCTATACGCCACTAAAAGTGATCTAAATAAACAATAGAATTATATGAACTATGAAATGCATTTTATTACTGAAGTATATATACATTTCAAGAAGAAATCTTCAAGTCATGTCTTGCCCCAAAAGCATAAAGAATTAGTTAATTTTGAGAAATAATTAAAAATTAAAATAGAAAATTGTGTCAAAAGTGTAACATTCCAGTTATTTTCTGTACATATCAGCCATTGTTTGTCATTTGCATATCATCATTATAAATCCATTGGAATTAGCAGATTTTTTCAGCAACAATTAAACTTAGCACAACAAATACTATTATGCACATATACAATTGTTTCAACTTAAAAAAGTTGGTGTTCTTTCTGCCTAAAATGTTAAGTTTAGTTAACTTGAATGTGAAGTTGTAGTAAGTGACACATTGTATATTTGAGTTGACTAAACGTAAAATGTTAAGGCAGCATAAACATTTCCTTTTTTTTAAGTTTTTTTTTTTTACTGTATGATCCAGACATTTCCTGACTGCTAACAAAAAGTATACCATTTATTTAAAATTAAATTAAACGAATAAATTGGTGATACATCACTGTAACATGTGCACACGTGTATAGATTTAGATTTTTTGAAAGAAGGACTCATTGAATTGATCATGAAGTTTCATCATAATGTTACAAAATATTATATTTCAAATAAATGTTGTTCTGTTAAAACCTTCTGTCCATCAAAGTTTATATTCATCAAACTTAATGTATGAATCAGGGGGTTTCCACAGAAATCTGAATCAGCACAACTGTTGATAATAATATAACATTGATAATAATCATAAATGTTTCTTGAGCATCAAATTATCATATTAGAGTGATTTCTGAAGGATCATGTGACACTGAAGACTGGAGTAATGATGCTGAAAATTCAGCTTTGATCACAGGAATAAATTACAGTTTAACATATATTCACATAGAAAACAGCTATTTAAAATTATTATTTTTAAAATATATTTTACTGTTTTTGTGATCAAATAAATGCAGCCATGGTGAGCAGAAGAGACGGCTTTCAAAAACATTAAATAATCTTACCGACCCCAAACTTTTGAAAGGTTGTGTAGATCTACTAATAATGTTTTCAGGAAATCTTTCAGTGTGACTGCAAAAAAACAGCTGTTTTAAATTGTAATAATATTTCACTGTATTTTTGATCAAATAAATGGCAAGCAGAAGAGTCTTCAGTCTAAAACATAAACATCTGTTTTTGTAATGATATCTCGAGTTCCTACCTCTGGTCTCTGCGAGGTTGTGTGTGTTTTTCCAGTCGGCTGTGTTCACTCTCCCCTGTGTTCACGTCTGTATGGGGTTTTGCTCACTGACTGTGAACAGTCAAACTCTGCTGATTCCAACAAAACTCTTTGCTTTTCAAGGCTCTTGCTTCATGAAGCGTGTCGCTGGAGTGGCCCTCTTTAAACACAACACAAGCTCATGTCAAGCATCTGTCAGGACTTGGAAATCATCATTATCTGCAAAAGCTTGCTTTGTACACTGATTTCAAACATGACATTTCACAGCCTTAGTGGAATAGTTCACCTAAAACAGACCAGATTCGGTCATCATTTACAAACGGTATTTTCATTTATGGCTGGAATATTCCAATAAATGACCCATGATCATCTCATTTTCAGGGAAATGTCCATCTGTGAACTCTTTTCAATCTACTCAACAAATTATTTGAGCTGTATGACTGTGGTAGTTGAGGAATGACCTGATGCTTTTGGCATAACTCATTTGAATAGTCAATTCTGAAAGAAGATCTTTGGCTGGACAATGATCCATAATTAAAGTAAGTCAAGTCATTAATCTAGATTAATAACAAGGCTTCATTGGGAGTAACTGCACTTGATCTGATGTCATTTGTACTAAGTATAATCATCTAAAAGGCTGTAAAAAGATTTTAAATCATTCATTTATGAGAATTCATGTCACATAGCCTATAACAATATCATAAATATAAGTGATAGATTCAAGGGCGTAGATTTGGTTTGAACATTGGGGGGGTTGAAGTTTGGGTATGCCTCCTGATATTGTGTTCATGGTATAAATAATGGGGGGGTTGTAATGCATAGATTTAAAAATTGGGGGGGTTATATCCCCCCCATCCCCCCCACAAATTACGCCCCTGGATAGATTACAATTACATTGTCTGAAGAATACATGAGTGCAGCGACACACACCGCCTCAATATGCATGCATTTTTTATGACTTTTCTGAGTGCTTTCTAGGTGGTTTCTCCCTGTCATTTTGTTGAAATCACTAACACTAAAGGTGCGAACTGCGGACATATTAGCGAATTAGTGTGGGCAAAATGGTGCATTATGTATTGTTTATAGTGCAGCAATAAAGCTCACACAGAACTCACTTCCAAACTCTGATCGTGTGGATTTCGCTGACTGGATTTGATTTCGAAGTAAACATGAGCGAGCAATATTAATATGCTTACCTTAGTAAACACCACTAATAACTGGCTCAAAACAGCTCAATGATGTTTAAACAGTTCTAATATTCATGTACAGATCAACACTTTCAGCGACTGGCGTCAATGACTCCTGACAGAAACAAAAACACCAGATCATCTGACGTAAGGTTGTGGCTCCTGAAGCTCTTCATGCGATTCAAGAGCCCTACAGAGTGGACATCGAGGAATGACGTGTTTCCAACACTCCTTCATCACTCGACTCGAGATGTTTTCTCCTTCATCACTCGAGATGTTTATTCCTCGGCCTCTGGAGCTGACTCGAGCCCGAGCGCTTCAGACGAGGCCTGTTGTTCTTCATAGAGTCGGTGAAGTACGTGACAATAAGAGGATTACATAACGGACAGCTTCACTGTCTGATTTCTGAGGTTTTTGACACACCATCATCATCATTTGTTTACAGACACGCTTTCATAATTTCTAGACAATCACACATTTTAAAACGATTTTAAGTCCGTTTATCATCTATCAAAACTGCTGCATGTAGCCTACTATACAGTATGCCATTTAATGTTTATGATTCCCAGGTTTTAAACTGCCAATTAAACGAACCGACAATCATTTATTCACCACGTGTGTTGTGGTATAATGGTAATTATCCTTCATGTTCAATTATTCTTCATGACTGATTGCATGTGTAAAAAATAATAGTTATTGTGAAATTAACCAATTATTCCCCCTCATAATTATTTAAATATGTTACTCTGTTTGGGATTAATTTGACCCAGGCAAACAAACAAATTAATCATGTAATTTAGGCTCTATTTAAAATTTGAAAAGATGTAGTAATAAAAGTGTATAGTTCTATAATGAAATGAACTATATTTTCAGATTTATATACTGCACCTGTTGAGGGTTATATAAATAAATGTAAATTAGTATTTTACCTTCAAATTATTGTAATGTCAATTTGACCTTGGCAAAAAACAGGAAGAAAAAAGACAGACAGACAGACAGACAGACAGATAGATAGATAGATAGATAGATAGATAGAGATAAATAGATAGATACAGATAGATAGAGAGATATATAGATATAGATAGACAGACAGACAGATTGTATATTATTTAGTTAAATATGTGAATATAGTTATATAGATTTATTTACTTGTTTTTTGTTATGTAGTTAACCATAAACTAGTATATACACATTTTTACATATAAACATTTTCTGGAGCCACACAAGAATCATGCCGCATGGGTCAGCAGTGAACTAATCATTCCTTTATTTGGAAAAGAACTGGAATAACATCAAACTAAATAGAACAGCAGATCAGGGACTTTGATTCTTAGAAAATCTCACTTTTCAAGGACAGTGGCTGGCAAGACCGTCTAATACTGTTAATCAAACCACTACTTCATATCAACACATATCAAATTCATTTCAACATAGGCAGCACTTTCATTCAAATGCAGAGAACTATCAGAATTTACATTAAAATCATATATGACTTGCTATTATGCTTTGTGCTAAATTAAGAGGTTTGAGGCATTGAATAAAGAACAATAGGGCAAAAGAACACAAAGTTCATATATTGGCCAAAGTTTGGTTGATTTTACAGCTGAAAGTTTCACCCGTTTTGCCCTGTAAAATTGTCAAATGCAGTTCATGCATCAACTTATAATGCCGTATATCAACATCTGCTTTGCTACATAATCAATATGAGTTCAGGTTAAGCACATGATTGATCATATTAGTAGGAAAGAAATCATAACTCAATGCATGTCAAAATATCATCTACTCAAAGTGTTCCTTAAACGTCGTTCTGAATTTAGAAGATTCGTACAAAAATAACAAGAACTAGATATATTGATAGATATTGTGCATAAAATCGGAGAACCAGACGAGGTTGTACAGATGTTTCTAGCTGTTGCACATGTACTTCTGCGTGAGACTTTGACTGTTGACGAAGACGGGATCCACCGTGGCCACTTTAGCAGCGATGAACGAGTGAATGCAATGAAGGACAGCCGTCAGATTGGCGAACTCCAGCTCCTGTTGGAAAACACACCGTCAACAGGGTGATTCTCGCTGATATCAATACATAACAAATCTATAAGGCCTCAAACTTAGTCTATGCAAGCGCTTCCACGCAATTCCCCATGTCAGCTTTCACATGAGAGTGCAGTTTTCTCTTTCAAGTCAACATCTGTCACGGCAGAGCAATGGTTTATTAAATACAAAAGCACAGAAAAGTCTTTTAGTGTCACTGTACAAACGTCCACCTTCAGCTTCGTCTTTTTCCTGTGAAATCTGCACTGATTTTTATCAAGTCAACGTAAGAATAACTTTAATATTGTTCCTGATATTTCAAGATCAACACTTACTGGACTGAAGCAACTTCAGTTTACT